GTGTCTTTATACACCGAAAAATACGGTAAGTAATCGATAACTACAACATTCGAATACTCAACAGAAGAGGTATAGACAAACATGTCTACAATATCTATAGAAGGCTGATAAGTGAACAGTGACTATAACATTCAAATACTCAAGAGAAGAGGTATAGACAAACATGTCTACAATATCTATAGAAGGCTGATAAGTGAACTGTGACTATAACATTCAAATACTCAACAGAAGAGGTATAGACAAACATGTCTACAATATCTATAGAAGGCTGATAAGTGAACTGTGACTATAACATTCAAATACTCAAGAGAAGAGGTATAGACAAACATGTCTACAATATCTATAGAAGGCTGATAAGTGAACTGTGACTATAACATTCAAATACTCAACAGAAGGAGGCATAGACAAACATGTCTACAATATCTATAGAAGGCTGATAAGTGAACTGTGACTATAACATTCAAATACTCAACAGAAGAGGTACAGACAAACATGTCTACAATATCTATAGAAGGCTGATAAGTGAACAATGACTACAAAATTCAAATACTGCTGTTTAAAGAATTAACTTTAAATTGAATTTTCACCATTTATTTTGAAGGTATTCGAAAAACATTGCTGAAAAGATTGCTTTAGTCCCACATATTATTTCAAATTATTTCTACTATTTCTATAATTAGTAGAACGCCACTGAGCGTCTACAGTCTTCACAAATCATTCAAGACTGCATGTCGCTACCAATGTTTGGCAGATTCTTATGCAAGAAGAACCAGATATTGAATATGTTTGTTTCAGTAAGGGCTCAGTTATGGTATGAAGAAGCTTCAGTGTAAACTAACATTCAGATTTTACTGTGCTTTTAAGGGGCATAATATACTGTTGGATGATATAGTGACGTTAATTGGACCTAAATGTATGATCTTTTAAGAGTCCAGTCACAGGGTAATGCATATTGCCATTCTGCTTGAATTGTGAGAGACTACCTAGAAAGAGAACCCATGACGGATTGTTCAGCAAAAGTTCCTAATCCAAATTTAGTAGAACATGTATAAATTCCCATTAGATACTGTTCACCTCAATACAATTCCTTAACCAACCATGTAACATCTGAGGTCTTGGCATTTTATTGACTGAAAAGTTGGACATGTTCTCCAATACGTTACCTGTGCATTGATCAAAAGAATGTCCAGCAAATGTAGAGACTGTATCAACGTCAGAGATACCCATATTCGTTATTACGTACATCTCCAATTCATTCTTTTGTTGTTGTTCCTTACTTTGTTCTCCAATACGTTACCTGTGCATTGATCAAAAGAATGTCCAGCAAATGTAGAGACTGTATCAACGTCAGAGATATCCATATTCGTTATTACATACATCTCCAATTCATTCTTTTGTTGTTGTTCCTTACTTTTGCTAAATGTGGCGCTTTGAGAAAAGTTGATTCTGTAAGACCTTATCACTGACCACTTTAGGTATAAGAATACTAATGTTCTACGAGTTGAGTTATAACTATCACTGTAATTTCAATGAAATCATCCTCTAACCGTATTCATTGAATAAAAACTACTCTACTTTAATCTCACTTCTACAATTGTCCTTTCAAGTTTTTAGAGTATTTATTATATTTTGATTTTTTACTGTTATCAATGCCTTGTTTTTTATTGGACGTTCACTATTTAAGTAATATCGCTGTTTTAAACGCGTTTTTGTTGGAATATTACAGAACAAATATTATATAAATATAGCGATTGCTATGGATAAATGATGTAACTTTACGTTTATAAACTTGAAACGATGTCTAGTTTGAAATTATAATTATTTTCTTATTAATTTTACATTTATTGTTTCTCCGTCTTTTCCTCTCGAGGAAGATTCCCCGATCAGACAAGCCCTATGAGTCCCTAATGTTGAACTTTGTTACTTCAAGATCTTCATCGCCACTAGGAG